ACCTTGGCCAGAGGACAATTTTAGTGACTGGACATTCTTGAATTTTAATTCAATACCCCTGCTTTAGAGAATGAAGACTAATAAAATGGAAAATGTTAACAGTAATAAAACTGTTACCCACATACAGTATAGTACATCTGCTTGAAAGCTATTATTCAGTCAGAACCCAATAAAACTCATTTAATGTCAACAAACTGTTTTTTATTCATGGTCTAACATTTACTGTATTTACATAAACACTAATGTATTTATATATATATATATATATATATATATATATAGAACTACTAGTTAATTAGATAATTTCTCTACTTATCTACTTGTATTTATAAAAATGCTTCATTCTTGAAGAACTTACCACATTGTTGACTTTTAACACAAATACTTCATGAATAATTATCACTTATTATATGATGTAGAAAATATAATCTCACATTTTCTGAAAAAAAAAGCTACTATTAAAATGTTTGTGTCTCGTACCTGTGTGCGGAGCTCGAGATAACCAGGGTGGCTTCTTTCATAGTTCCTGTACAAGCACCCCTGGAAGTTCAGACAGGTTCTTCTGGGGCGATGGAAAGTTATCAGTGCCAGGCTGTGAACTTGAGAACATTGATATTTGTAAATGTAGTGAATGCCATAAAGCAGAGTTGGATCCCAAGCCTGTAATACTGAGCAGGAAGGCACCAAGTTGAAGGCAAAATCAGAGTAAGACAGGCAAAAGTTGGCAGCAGGCAGGCAGTGAAGTATGAATTTGATGGGCAGAAATGTGGTCAGTAGTCCAAGCTGAGATCAGTAACGGAGATAGTGATCACAAACAGACAAGGGTAATCCAAAAGCAGGTCAGGTGGAAGGTGAGTCGATAATAGAATCAGGATGAGTATAGGGATCAGCAAGACTGAAGATCATTCAACAAGAAGCTTGTGCAAAGTTCAGGTTTAAATAGCCCACTTGGTGGCAGTGGACATGCATGCATGTCCGCCAGTGCCCAACGATGCACATGCATTAAACTGTATACCCAGAAATCGGTGCTTATATTGCTTATCCCCCAAGGGGTATCAAAATGTTTTGAGACTAGTTTTGTAACACGCCAACAGATGCCAGCACAAGGCTGCACGCACAGTCACAGGAAGCACTGACCTTCATTAGTGCACGAGCAGGGCCCTCCTATTCCTTCTGTACTGAAATGTATTGTAATTGTACTGTCTCCTTTTATATTGTAAAGCACTGCGCAAACTATTGGCACTATATAAATCCTGTATAATAATAAGTCAGTGTGCCAAAGACATCATTCTCTGTACATCAGGAGCTGTGCAACTGGTGCTATACTGACCACGTGCATCACCACGTGCGCTATTTCATCATGGACAGCAAGTTAGAACAAAGAGCAAAAATGAAATTCTGGGCAAATCACTGGATCTCTGTAATGTTGTCAAAATGGCAACCTAGATCTTCATCTTCGGGAAGAAGGTATTTTCGGGGTTGAGCTTGTTGATGGTCTTCCTAATCTCTTCTCATCTTCCAGTGGTGTTATTACACTCTTGACTCTGTGGCAGATTTGCCCAGTTTCATGCAGAATTTCACATTTGCTCTTTGTTCTAACCTGCTGTCCATGATGAAAAAGCAGACGTGGTAAAGCACATGGTCAGACTAGCTCCAGTTGCACAGCTCCCGATGTACACAGGATGATGTCTTTTGGCACACTGACTTATAAAGGGCGGCTCTCACGGCCGCCCTTTTTGAGTTACAAAACTAGTCTCGAAACTTTTTGATACCACCTCATATTTGCATAGGTTAGGGAATGAGACATCCCCATAGCTATCTCTTTTATTTTATGGTAAATACTGCCATAAAGAAATCATTTTATGCCAGAATAAACTGATGCAGAAAAATACATTTTCTGTGATTCTGATTTTCTGTGATGGGACTACCTTTTTACTTTATTTAAGGACAGTTAAATGGATGGTTGGGGATAAAGTTGCTTTATGTATCTTTAATTGAAAAGTGGTAATGGGAAATTATGCAAATTGTGTCACTAGTCATTACTGTCATTAAGTGTGGGCCAAATAAATATAACCACATATTTAGAATATCTTTGCAATACATGCATATTCCCTTTGGAGATTCCACCATAGATCATTTGAGCTCCTACCTTTCAATTCTGGGCTGACTTGCTGTACTGAAATTTCAAGGAGCTCTCTCTTCTGCTGAAGTACAGGACTCCACCTATCCCTCACCCCTCTCTGTCTTTCTCTACATGAATACATTAATTTCTTTCTCAGCAAAACAATGCTCCTGCCTAACCTACCAAGAGCTTACCCAAACACTATGTGTAGTGAAAGAGCTCTTGGGAGATGTAGCTTTGGGGGGTGTGCCTATGTCAATAGAAAGTGATGGAAGCCACCTTGCTGAAGTCTCCTCTCTGCCCAGTAATGATATCACATGGAGATTCGCTAGCTTCAGGAACAAGGTAATAAAATATTAAGGCAGGGACATTGTAAGGGATTTCCGGCAAGAAGAATCGGATCGGGAACGCGCATGCGCATAGGAATTCCCACAGAAAATTGCCGGTTGTGTGCATGCGCGCAGGAATGCACGATCGTGCACACGCATGTGCACGTGCACACACACGGCGAAGATTGGCCCCAGATGGCTCATTTAAGGAGTGCCTCTGCTCAGGTTCAGTGCTGATTGGTCTTCAGCTCCCCCTGTGTCCTGCTTGTTCCTGTACGATTCCTCCGTTACCAACCAGGGCTTGTTCCTGACCCGACTTCGATTACTTTCCTGCTACCAGTTGCTGACTTCGGCTCTGCTTCTGACTTTGGCTTTTCCTTCTGATTCTGTACCGCGCTGCCCGACTGTTGATGACCCTGGCTATCCTATGACCCTGCTTCAGTCTCTTGTCCTTGCTACCTACCTTGCTCTGCTGCACATCTGGCAATTTACAGAACCTGCTCTGTCTGTTATTACGGTGCCTAAATCAGAGGATCATCTGCCTTCCAAGGTCATCATCTGAAAGAGCTGCAAACAACAACCACTGGCGCTCTTGTCCAACTGGTCTCTAGATTCCCTCTGTTCCAACCTCAGTGGGGTCAGGGCTAGTGACACAAGTGAGGCCAACCTCGTCAATTCAGTCTCCCATCAGGTACGTGACAGACATGGTCTAGAGCATGGGTGTCAAACTGGCGGCCCTCCAGCTGTTGCCAAACTACAAGTCCCATGAGGCATTGCAAGATTGACAGTTACAAGCATGACTCCCATAGGTAGAGGCATGATGAGACGTGTAGTTTTGCAACAGTTGGAGGGCCACCAGTTTGATACCTCTAGTCTAGAGGCAGACACTTTTCATGTGTAATGTAAATTAAGAATTAAAAAAGGAGCAATTCATTTATTAATGAAATAATATTATGCAGCGTTTGTAGAAATGATAGTTATGCATTTGCAACCTAATGAATGCCTGTTCCATATCAATAGGTATATATTTTCAAAAGTGAAAATTACCCTAAAAATTTACATTGTATTTTCAGAACTAGATTTCATATAAACTTAGTGTAATGCTAGCCAACATGCTTACATTGTATGCTGCTTCCTTCATTTTTCATGCTAGCATGTTTTCATTTCCTTGTATGTTTGAGTACATCATTAGACTTTCTTTGTTTCTGAGTAACTTGATGTCACATAAACATAGCAGAATTCTCCGGAGTACAAGCTTATTTTCCTAATTTTTCTAGCTTTATTTGTCGCTACTATAGGGTGTTGGTTAGAATGGAGTTGAGTTAAGGACATAGTCACAAACACTTCCTTTACTGTTTCCTTGGGCAGAAATGCAATGGAATGAAGCCATACTGTACTGTGTGGTATTTAAAAATGTAACTTTTTATCGCAAAGCCATAGTTTATTCACAAAAAGAAAAAAGTATCTGCAGTTGTCATAAACATGACTTTGAACAGCTGTTTTTATGACCTAAGGCTTTGTATACAGCCAGACACAGAAATATATGTGGATTAGGTACAGCAAAGTGTATTGGATTACTGTGGGAAAACCTCTACATGACCTGATAGACTAGGCACTGGATGTGGGTGGGGCTTAATGCACCCTAGTGGGGACCCGGAGACAGAACTTTCTAGTGCCCCCAGTAACTGACTGAGGATGCCGTGTAACACAAGGTTGGCGTTAAGGCAGCACTCCACTTTAAAAGTGATGCTTCTTCTTTGAAACATTGTTACCATACTTTGTAATCCATAGTCCAACTTCTGTACTCTTCACATTGTTCACTATCGATATCAGTCTCGTATTCCTTTCTATATGCACTACAGATAACAGATCATCAATACACTTTATAACTCTTATCTCTGAATTGTGCAGCATTTCTGAGTGACTCTACCAGCCCAGTAACCTGTCACCTCACTCCCAGTGACATTAAAATGGAGTTCCACCTGGAAAAAAAAAATAAAAGTCAGCAGTTAGAAAAACTGTAGCTGCTGACTTTTAAAATACAGACACTTACCTGTCCCTCAGTCCAGTGGTGTCCTCAAAACCAATGGTTTCACCGGGCGTCTTCTCTCCCTGGCGCCAGCATCTTCAGTGTGGGCAACCAGCTGTGACAGCTTGTGGCTTTACAGCCGGGTACCCACTGCGCATGCGCTTTGTGAATGGCCCCGTAGTCTGGAACCTGCCACGTGTCCCAGAAGAATGCGGGGAGGGAGGGTAGGAGGACAACTTCCGCTTCCGATCGCCGAGCCGATCGCAGCGTAAGTGGGAGCAGGTACCTGTCAAATTCGGGTACCCATTCCCCAAGGGGCCAATCCTTAATGGGGAGCGGGCACAAAGGCTTAAAGCGGAACGTCCCCTTTAGGGTGGAGCTCCACTTTAATTCATGTTTCCCATGAATACTAGGAAGCTGAACTTTTTTTACTACATTTTGCTTTTTCATCTCCAAAGGTCTCACTATTTCCCATGACTCCAAGGCTGGGTTCCTAGGACACCCTGTGCTGCAATGTCAGACCAGGGTTGGACTGACCATTTGGAAACTCGGGCACTGCCCGAGGGCCCGGGGTCAGTAGGGGGCCCCATGAGATGCCCCTGGTACCTTTTCCATAGGCTTTTTTGAGTTTGAGCAAGGACACAGGGGCCCCATGATCCCCTATTGCCCGGGGGCCCCATGAGCTGTCAGTCCACCCCTGTGTCAGACCCAGTATTAGGGTTCTGATTGCAAAGGAAGGAGTCTATGCACAAAAGTTCCTTCACTAGCAGGGCCTACATCTCCTTTCCCAAGTCACCACTTCCTAACCGGCTGGCTACTTATGCACATAGACAAAAGTACTGTAGGTATTAGCAACGGCAATGTAGCCTCCTTCGCATTTCTTCACTTCACATTAGACATTTGTACTGCTTTTTCTCTTTTTTTTTCTTTTCCCTTTATTAAGCCCTGTTCTTTGTGATATACCATGCATGCATTGCAACCCCTTAAGGTTGTCCTCAAGCAACTTCAGACCAGTCCACGTTGAATAGCTGTAAACATTCTTTAATGAAGATAATTAAATGTAACAACTGAACAGTTAACGAAAGAGATCTTCAATATACATTACAGTACATGATCTTCTAAGTGCTCACAAATCTTTCCTGGTGAATCTAATTGCCCCTTGAGGTAGTTACACCTTAAATAGGTAAGAAAGTAATTTAACCTCCCCCCACATGCCATATAAGGAAATGACAGGAGGGCAGGCGGGTTTTTGCATTCTGGGAGGATGTCATATGATGTCCTCCTACTCCAGCTGCGCATGTGCACCTCCTGGGGCCATGCGGCAATGGGTGGTGTCCCTGGGATGCAGAGGATCACTGATCACAGTTAAAAGGCAATGACGTAGGGTCTACCATGTGATCAGCTGTTTCCATCCACAGCTGATCACATGTAAATAGGAAATGCCGGTTATCGGCAGTCTTCTCCTCACGCTGACAGCGTGTGAGGAGAGGAGAGCCAATAAATGGCATTTCTCAGAAGGAACATGTACAATAATCATCAGGGCACTGATCATCAGTGCCCTGATAATCAGTGTAGCCCCATCAGCGCCATCTGTCAGTGCCCATAATTGCCACCTGTCAGTGCCCATCAATGCCACATACCAGTGCCCAGCAGTGCACATCAATGCCACATATCAGTGCACATCAACGCCACATATCAGTGCCCATCAGAGCTGCCTTCAGTGCCAACCATCAGTGGCAGTCAGTGCCACCAATCAATGCCAGTCAGTTCCGCCTATCAGTGCCAATCAGTGCTGCCAATCAGTGCCAGTCAGTGCCATCTATCAGTGCCAGTCAGTGCCACCTATCAGTGCCAGCCAATGCAGCCTATCAGTGCCGCCTAACAGTTCCAATCAGTGTCACCT